GAAATTGTGGCTTCTGAAGCACTTGTGGTTAAAGAGGATGACTTTTATTTCTGGCTGAGGGGAAAGACTGAACACAGAACAGCATTAGGTAAACCAATTGTAGAATGTTCGCATTGATGTGAAGTGAGGTAATGGCCTGGTTAACCAATTATTTTTTTAATACTTCCTTTTGTAGGAAGAAGATTTTCAAGAAATGATTAAATCTGCACAGATAATGGAAAGTCAATATGGTCATCTTTTTGACAAAATTATAATAAATGATGACCTCACCGTGGCATTCAATGAGCTCAAAACAACTTTTGACAAATTAGAGACAGAGACCCATTGGGTACCAGTGAGCTGGTTACATTCGTAACTAAGAGAAATTTCCATAATCGTCTTTTTTTATAGAGTGCATGATGAAATCAGTTACTGTTTTGGTAGGGGGTTTGTAAATCTATATCACTGTCAGAGATGTACAATCTTGATTCAAGTTGAATGCTGGTTTTGTTTGTATCTTTTTACAGCCTTATTTCAAACACCATGTGTGAGTATAACATCAGAAATCAAAATGTGCACGGTACTGTATTCTAAGCAAAACCTCAAACTTTCTGGTTGTCTTTAATACAGCTCTCTCTCCAACATGAGGCTGAAATTTTCAGAGAGACCTAGCTAGAGGCTTAGTATGTATTGGAATTCAGCGCTTCTGCTGGTCTCCGGTGTGGCGGCTGCCGTTGAGTTTGAATGTTAGCTGTTGAAGGTATCAATTCAGCAGCCATGAGCAGCTTCAGACAGACAGGTCAGCTTTGCTCTTTCTGGGTGGACCATCACAGATTTAGCCGGGCAGGTGGTAAGTCGTCCTCCTACTATTCAAAAAGTATAGACTTTTTCTTACATATTCGTGATACGTTCACAGTGTGTGCATTTTAAAATAATTCTTAAAAGAGTAACTGAAATTTTACCTTGAGTGAATGACCTTCATAATATAGCTTGAGAAGTCCTTTTGAGTACCTGTCAGTGACTCAACAAACATTTAATAAGGGAAAGTAGACTTTAAACAGTTATTGTATATGTAACTAAAAGCCTTTCCTTGTGGGATTAATATTACAATGGTAGTCTTGTGGCAAGAAATGATTACAAAGGATATTTTTATTTGTAAATCCCCAGAAGACAATTTATGAAGTCACCCAAAATGTTATTTTAGCTGGTTTTCGATTTTTCCAATAAATTAGAAGGATTTCTATTCTAAAACATGTAAAACATGTTTTACGTATTACTGATACAATTAAAGATTATTTTTCATCTATGTGCAATAGATCATCCCTCTCTTTAAATTGCTCTGAGATATATTTTAGAAAACTTTTCATGTAATGTTATTTCTTTGTCGTCAAAATGATTGTTAACACTGTCCAGACACCATCCTAACCTTGCCATTGTTAAAGAAGTTTAAGAAAGACTCTTATATTGTCGATATTTAGATGGGATCTCTCACTTTTCTTTGATACTACTGATTCTCAGCAAGTGAATTATATAGTTCAAAATGCTAGAAATGTCTATACGTTCTATAAGAGAAAGCATATCCTGCCATTCTTGCATGCAGTGAAGCCCTGCCAGTCGAAAATCATTGCATCTGTGACTTTCAAAGAGGAAAAAAAAATGTTATTTTTTGTTGATTTGTAAAGAGAGTTTAAATGTCATGTGAAAAAAATAGAATGTAGTAAAATTTTATATATCTATGAAATATTTGAAAGGCATATTTTTTTAAATATCAAATGGGGCTATTCATAAAATAAATTGATTGTATGTATAAATTTAAAAGAGTAGTTTTATAAATCATGGTCAACATTCCATGTAAATATTTGAGCTTTACACAGATAGATCCAAGTGCACGATCTGTGCACTGCACATTTGATAGCATTATTCACTGGTTTTCCTTCAGACTTGTCAAGTTCATATTAGAAACAGAGACAAAAACCACTCCAATGGCCTTGACACATAGTCACACCAAAATAGATAATCAGATGAAGTATTATATAACAACATGATCCAGACAGTGAGTTCTAAGTGTATTAATTAAATAGCAGAAATTTTGTTTTTAAAAAATGAAAGAGGGAGGGTTGCCAATCTGAAGTCTTAAGTAGATTGTTTGGGTAGCATATTTCCTTCTTTGAACATTGTCTAAAATTTTCTATAAATCAAGACTTCTTGTACAAAGAATGATGGGAAATATGTAATAATTCAGGCAATCACCTGAGTAATTTAGGCAGTCCAAATTCTTTACCCTGAAATACCCACATTAAAAAAAAAATTGCAGATAATTGCTTCAGTTATTTACTTTGGGGACAGAGATGTAGTGTAAAGTGGGAGATACTGAGTCCTTTTATGGTGGTGGTAATAAGATGTTATAAAAATATAACGTTTTAAAAAAGAAAGGTCCAGACCTTTGTTTATTTAAGGGCAGAGCTAGAACAATATTTTTAAATAATAGGGGAAAAAAGGGGGCCCTTTGGCAATTTTAGAAATCAGGTAGTATACTTTTTTTTTTTTTTTTGAGACAGGGTCTTGCTATGTTGCTCAGGCTGGTCTTGAACTCCTGGGCTCAAGCAGTCCTCCTGCCTTGGCCTCCCAAAGTGCTGGGATTACAGGTGTGATCCACCGTGCCCAGCCTGTAGACATAGTCTTAAAAATGGTGTTTATATGGCCATCTTGATGCTTAGAAAGATACTTGATTAAAATTTAATAAGGCAGGGCCAACTCCAAGAGTGCATCAATAACGGCAGCAGAAAGGCCCTGAATTCTGAACTTTCTTCCCCCAGCCTCCTTCTCCAGCAAGGAGAATAGCACTCCTCCCTTCAGAAACCAGCTCCCTAAGTTGGAGTCACTATGTAAGAGAAGAGGAATGTTCACTTTTTAAAATTCATGTATTTAAAATTCAAGACCAAAAAGGAAATTCTGTCCTCCTATTATTGACTATAGTCAATTAAACATGAAAAGGTAAAATTAAAATTTAATTTTTTACCCTTATTTTACTGACCAATATGGAATTCTTGGTATCTCTAAGGCTGACCTTCCTGGTATTGTGTAATGATTGAATGTATCTAAACTGTAATAATTTGAAATTGACAAACCTTCTCAGACTTAACAAAACTATGTTCTTAAAATCTTTCTAAAGATACAGATTTTTATTATTTATTTTATTTTGACTAGGAAGGATTTATAAATAAATGTAATGAAAAATCTTTGATCTTAATAAAGTACCTTCAAACAATGTGTGTACTTACTTGAAAATTGTTTTTGCACTTGGATATTCTATTTTATTATACTACTATTCTGATCTATTCCATTATATTATTTCCCATGGTAGAACAAATTCTATTTTCTACTGTGATATGAAGTGATGTAATTGAACTTGCCATGTCTAAAATTAAATTTCATATTTTTTTCAGTCAAACACTGCTTTCATCAAGGCTGTTGGAGAGATGGAATTCACTAGTGTTGTTCTTACCCATACAGTCCAGCAATTTAAAAATGTGGAGAACCTCAGTGGGAAGGAAGAATTAGGACCATCAATGATGGGAACACACCTCCCCCACTCCCCACCTCCTCTCCTCCTCCCCACTAGGAATCAGTGTCACACACATCCTCTTCCTGAGCTTCAGTTAGGCGAAACTCAGCTTTTACAACCGTGCATATAGGAACAAATTGTTACCTGCTATGCAAACTAGCTAGCATTGGCCTTGCTTCAGTCCTCGAGCCAGTTAGCCCCAGCTCTGCATCCACAGAAAGGTTGCTCTTAAGAAAGCATTTAAGAGCATTTAAGACGGGCGGATCACGAGGTCAGGAGATCGAGACCATCCTGGTTAACACGGTGAAACCTCGTCTCTACTAAAAAAAATACAAAAAACTAGCCGGGCGAGGTGGCGGGCGCCTGTAGTCCCAGCTACTCGGGAGGCTGAGGCAGGAGAATGGCGTAAACCCGGGAGGCGGAGCTTGCAGTGAGCTGAGATCCGGCCACTGCACTCCAGCCTGGGTGACAGAGTGAGACTCCGTCTCAAAAAAAAAAAAAAAAAAAAAAAAAAAAAAAAGCATTTAAGAGCATGGGATCTGGAGTGAGAATTCTTCAGTTCACATTCTGGTTTTGCCTGTTTCCAGCTCTGCAGCCTTGGGAAAATCATTGAACCTCTCTGTTTTTCATTTTCTCATCAGAAAAAAATAGGGGTAAGAACAGTGATTACCCCATGGGATTGGTGTGGGCATGAAATGAAAGAATCCAAGAATCCTTAGAACAAAACCTGGGACAGAATTGTTTAATAATTGTGAGCTCCTGTTGTATAATGGTCATTACCACATCACACAATTTAAAAATAGCTGTGTAAGTATTCTCAACCACCCTACATAAACAGTTTCCCTATTAGTAAACCCACTGGAAGTTTACAATAAATAATTTATTAGAAGCTTCATTTTTTATTTTTTTGAGATGGAGTCTCACTCTGTCACCCAGGCTGGAGTGCAGTGGCGCGATCTCAGCTCACTGCAAGCTCCGCCTCCCGGGTTCACGCCATTCTCCTGCCTCAGCCTCCCGAGTAGCTGGGACTACAGGCGCCCGCCACCTCGCCCGGCTAATTTTATATATTTTTAGTAGAGACGGGGTTTTACCGTGCTAGCCACAATGGTCTCGATTTCCTGACCTCGTGATCCGCCCGCCTCGGCCTCCCAAAGCGCTGGGATTACAGGCGTGAGCCACCGCGTCTGGCCAGAAGCTTTATTACTTTTTTTTAAATGTCAGAGCTTCCTACCAAGTGACACATCAGGAACTAATTAGGTAATCCCCAATAGGAAGGGAGCCAATTTTTATTTTTAACCACTGGGTATGCAATGTAACTGATAACAATTAGAAATGTCCCTTAATTGTATTAATGCCGTTTCTTCTGCTGCCACCCTTTTATTTCCAAATGCGTGTTCAGTTACACTTAAGCTTCTGGAGGGCAGAAACTATTTTACTTTTGTCCAAAAGAACTATCTTATACACATAGGCCTAATCACTGCCTGGCCAAATTGTACTTATTAATCATAGAATATCTTTATAATTTCCATACATGATGTCATTTAATACCACAAGTATCTTACATGGAAGATATTATCTTCATATTTTACAGTGGAGCAAACTGAGCAGCAGGGCTGGAGTACCTTGCCCAGGGTGACATTGGTGATGAGGAGTGGAATCAGGGATGGAATGTCATCTGGCGTCCTTCAGCTCCATGCTGTTTCCACTGCATTGTGCTTCATGGGGTTTCTGTAAGTTGAGCTAAAGCTGGGAACAAATTAAGATTTGGGTAATTAGGGGAGTGATTGTTCACACTTATGCACATGCAATTGGTGAAGAATTTTCTCAAAACACTGTTGCTTTAGATACAACTTTATGTTTCCATGCCTGTATAAGTGGGTTCATCTTCAAACAATGGCTATTATCAGAAATGTATAAAAAGCTTAGATAGCATACTGTGAAATTTTATGCTACTGAGTTCCAGTCCCTACTCAAGACTGGCCTCAGTCAATCATGATAATCTCTTTGTAGTGATTTATCTGGGCCGGTCATGCTACCAGTTCCAGGTCATGTCTGTTGGAGGAGCTATGAGAAAGACACATTTCTCTGATTTAAACAAACAACTGCATGAAATGAAAATCCTTTATGGCCCTATCCTCATCTTTCTGCTTGAGATGCTCTATTATGTTGTGATGCTTGTCAATATGACAGCTGTAATCCTAACCCTGCATCAGAGGATGATAAAGGCCAATGTACTAAGGACGAGTGAGTGAAAAAGATCCTAAATCCATAATATTGAACTGCTGCACCAATCCTGGGACTTCCTTCCTCTAACTGTTAAAAAAAAAAAAAAAAAAGTTCTGATGGTTTAAGTCATGGCCTCCTTGCTGCTGAAAGCACTCCTAATTTGAAACGGTATTCATGAGCAACTCAGGCCATTCTCAATATCTACTTTTCACTTAGCAAAAGTTGTCCTTTTGCTCAGCGGTCACACATCCTGCTTTGATACAATTACTGAGCATTAATATACTCTATAGAATGGTCCAATGCAAGACATTCCATTTAAATTTTATTTTTCTCAGATTTCATTTCTTTTTCCTGCTCAATATGGATAAGAATTTAACCTTAAAATTCAAGTTCAGAAAAAATTTGTTCTTAATGTTTTTGAATTTACAAATGTATGATGGTTGTCTTCTATTAGTCACTCAAAATATGTTATAAATTAAAAGGCTGACTAAACACTGCAGAGTCTACCATTTCAAACAAAGTAATGCTTGTTTAATTGTTTAATTTGATTCTTGAATTATTTGGTATAATTCAAGAATTATACCAAAAGGTTCCATTTGTTAAGCCCTTGTTCTGTGCCAGGCATTGCTACTTAGTTGTAGATTAGCTGTTTGTGATCATCAGTTTCACTCAAACATAGAAAAGTTCTAAATAGAAATATATCTGAATAAGTACAAAATATAGCTACAAAACATCTATTGCTGTAAATGTTAAAGGAACGCAATGTAGCATAAAGTAAAAACTTTTGAAAATATATTACTATTAGGAATCTAGAAGATATCACAATAACGAAGGATGGAGGAAGGAAGGAAGCAATATAAATGTACATAAATATCAGTTAAGTAATTATTTTTTAAGAATGTGACCGGCTTGGGCAACATGGTGAAACCCTGTATCTACAAAGAAAAAACGAAAAAAAAGAGCTGGGAATGGTGGCGAGCACTGGTAGTCCCAGCTACTCAGGAAGCTGAGGTGGGAGGATCATTTTAGCCTGGAAAGTCACCGCCGTGAGCCATGATCGTGCCACTGCACTCCAGCCTGGGTGATGGAGTGAGAGACCCTGTCTCAAAAAACAACAAAACAAAAAAAAATGAAAGTAATTTCCAGTGGGACTATAATTAAATACAAAGAATCAGAAAGAGAATCCATAAAACGAGATGACAGAAGCAAGACCAACTGTATCTCTAACAAGAGATTTAAATGACATAAATTCATGTATTGAGACGTTTCAACTACATTGAAAAATGAAACCAACTGTATGCTTCCAGATGAGAAAGATTTTAAGTGAGAGGATTAACTACAATATGCCAGGCAGATGCAGACAGAAAGCAGAGAGCACAAAAGAACAAAACAAAACAAAAAACCAGAGTTGAAGTCAATGCTTATTAATTGGGTCGAAAAGTTGTTCTTTAGTAATTAATGCTATGAGCCACTACAAGAAGAGCATTGAAGGCCTAAAACAAAACATGAGAAACATAATCAACAAAACCACATTACTTGATAATCTGTAAAACACATCTTTCAGACTGTGAAGAAAAATGGTTATAGAGGGTCTGAATGTCATAATTCTTCAGGCTGATGTCATAGCATTTTATGGATTCTCTTTTAGATTCTTTGTATTTAATTTTAGTCCCACAGGGAATTGTTTTCATAGCTATGTTATAGCTATGGAAAGAGAATTTTGTCCTGAAAATGAGATTACATCTCATCGAGCATTTACAAAACGAAATTCTAAAGTAGGCCACAGAAAAGCCTCATTAAACTCCAAAATACTTAAATACCTCAAATTACATTTTATGACCCTAGTCCAATAGAACTAGAAGCAAATAGCAAATATAAACTGAAAAGGACCTAGAAATAAAAAAATTTAGAGTATTCTGATCAAGGAAATAAAAATGAAATTGCAGATTATCCAGAAAATAACACTGAAATCAGAATCTATGGAATCTGAGTAAAACTGAGCTCAAGAAAATTTGTCGCTTTGAAAACTTTTCTAAGAAAAAAATAAAAATAAACATTGGCTCAAGCAACTCGGGAAAGAATAACACGAGTGGTACTGTATTTTGGCTAGGTTATTATATACACTGAATTTTCCAGGAATGCACTACCATGTAAATCAAAGGGAGATTGTACTTCATTTTTTTTTCAGAACTTTACTAAGAGGTTTTTTTTTTTTTTTTTTTAACCATTTTGGAACATCATGTCACCAATTGCAATGCAACACATGGCATTTGAGTGTCCACTGACCCCTCTCGTTTGTCCACACCTTCACTGTGGCACACACAGTAACTACATCCATTCAATTTCTGTTTTCGTCTACAGAAGTGCTGCTTGAGCCTTTATGTACAAAAATATGTCTTATTTTCAATGGTTTTCCTTTTGTTTATCTCTTCCTTTACAATGGGGTTTCTTGCCATTGATGTAGATTATTCCAGTGGACTTCATTTCAGGACAGCAAAAGGAATATTACAACATTTCTTTTACAGAAAGGGATCCCTGTGTGGGCTAGGTGGAGTCTCGCTGCTTCAGATATGTGGCCATTTAAATCCCATCTGTTTTTCCCCTTTGAGGTTCACCGGCTCATCCTGTTTTAATATTTTAGGGTAATTAATATGTAACAGCATAAATTAGTACCCCCGGACATACTACTGCTATGAACAGACTGTTAAAGATGAAAATAACTGTAATGTTGAAATATTTTCAAAAAGAATGCGATTGAATAAAATAATAGACATTACCACAGACCTAAATATTAAATCAAAGGATTAACCTGATAGACTCTTAGAGAACATAATTTTTAAAAGATAAGGGATGAAAACAGAATATGTTGAGACATGGATAGTAGATCCAAGAGACCCACTGTCCACCTAATAGGATTTCCTATTAAGCTAAAGACATGAAATGAACAATACAGTAAATTTCCCTAAATTGAAGATAACATCTTCAGACTTAAATCTCCATTCACTGACCTACTACAGTGTTGCAAAAAGATCCAGACACTTCTTCCTGGAATTTGTGACCTCCTGTAACAGAGAATCCTATAAGCTCAGAGAAACAGAAAGAGAGAGAATGATATGGATAGGCTTTGTGTTCCCACCCAGATCTCATCTTGAATTGTAATCCCCAGGTGTTGAGGAAGAGACCTGGTGGGAGGTGATTGGATCATGGTGGCGGTTTCCCCCATGCTGTTCTTGTGATGATAAGTGAGTTCTCAGGAGATCTGATGGCTTTATAAGGGGCTCTTCCCCCTTTACTTCCACACACACTCTCTCTCTCACCTACCATCATGTAAGATGTGCCTGCTTCCCTTTCCACCATGATTGTAAGTTTACTGAGGCCTCCCAAGCCATGCCTCCTTTATAGCCTGTGGAACTGTGAGTAATCAAACCTCTTTCCTTTATAAATTACGCAGTCTCAGGTATTTCTTTATAGCAGTGTGAGAATGAACTAATATATATATGTGTATGTACACATATTTTTTTTATATATATACACACACACACACTCACAGAGGTGGGGAGAGGGAGGAGAGAAAGAGAGAAGAAAGAGATGTTACTTATAAAGAAATACAAAATCTGCTAGGCCTCAAACATCTTATCTGCAATAGGATAGTAGATGACAAAACCCATATCATATACTGTGGGGAAAATAAATCTAAGCCTAGAGTTCTGTAACCATTCAGACTATCATTAGGAGCAACAATAAATAAGCTCAGATGTTTTTTACCATGCCTATATTCTTCCTGGAAGCAAAGGCTCAAAGATGCACTTCAGCATTGAAAATAAATTCATGAATGAAGAAGGCATGAATACAAGCAAAATAAGTAAAAGAATCAGGAAAACTTAGGACAATACTAAATAAGAAGGATTTACATTCAAATCATTGCTATACCGTTTCCTAGCTATTACATCATGCAAACTACTTAACCTTCTTGAACCTTCATTTCCTAATCTATAAAACAGAAGTAATAATAAGATTGATACAATAGGGCTCATTAAAATACTCTACCTAAAGCCCTTAGGACAGTGCTTGGCATCGGGTAAATGTTCAGTAGATGTTAGCTATTATTATAATCAATGATGGACTTCAAATTGCTAAAAAATTTTTGGAGGCCAATTTTGCAGTTCCATCAAATGTTATAATACTCATGCCATGTCCCTGAACCAAACAGCTTCCATGCACACTCATATTTGTGTAGCAATGTTAATCGCAGTAGAATTTATTGTGGAAAAAATTTAAATCAATCTCTTGTTAGTGAGGGAATAACAAACAATGATATAATATAGTTTTCATTACTATATCACTATTTTAAAATATGGGGTGGTTTTTTGGCATTATATTATTAATGCAAAAAGGTATATATAAAATGCAAAAGGTATATAATGCAAAAAGGTATACAATATTGTGTATTATAATATATAATATCACTTATAAGTAATATATCAAAAATATATATTATACACAATATGTATACTACATAT